TAAAAAATCTCATTTTGACTATATATTATTATTATTAAAGATTTCTCAATGTGAACAAATAAAACAAGTATCATTTCAGATAAAATTTATATAATATCAAATGAATGGATGCATATTCATATAAGTGAAAATAATTAATGTTAAGTTATTATTAATTTAATTTTTTTTGTATAATATAGTAATTATATTGATGTATAACAATTTTTTCAAAGTAAGTTTTAAATACTAAAAAAATTTTTACAATAATAAAACATACAAAAAATTACAATTGCAACACTACACAACAATTCCAAATACAAGCAAAAATCAGTGACAAATGGACTCAAATTTGGGAATGAGACGCATTTTCTTTCATACAATAATCCTCACTTGTTTAACAAAGATTTTTCATCACATTACACAGATTTGCTCTAGGATTTCATAATAAATGTCCTACACTTTTAAGGGAATGAAGGTGCAAGGCATAATTTCACAAGAATTAAGATTCATTTACATACAACTTTTATATTTATCATCATCTATAAAAAATCTTGATTATTTATTTTTCAACTATGAATTGTTGACCTCTACTATGACTTTAATATGTTAAAAAGTCAATTATCTTAAAAAAATTTTGTGTAATTAAATATATGTATAAGCAGATTCTATCTTTTATCATATTGTGCTTTGCACCTTCACTCTCTTGAAAGTGCAGGACCTTTATTCTAAAATCCTAGAGGGAATATTTGTAATGTGATGAAAAATCTTTGTTAAGAGTTCATTGTTACAAGTTCAAACCATTAATTAATAAGATGTTCCAGAATCCATTCTGCAGCTTTAATAACTCATGTGAACCACTACTTGCATTGGACATATTTTATGAAGATTGTACAGGAAGTAGGAATTAGTGTTGAAGGTTGATATATTCGGTCTTACACTTTTGTGGTTATATGTTGGAAATCCTTGGTTCAACAATAAATTGTGGTGAAGGCCCAAAAGAAATAAAAGATCAAGTTGAGGTGGTTCAAAATCCACCCCCATGCACTGTCTAGAGACATTGATTGTTCTAAAACAGGTAATTCCCTGCCCAATCTTCTAAATCTGCCAATCAAAGAGAAGAAAATTGATTAAAGGATACACTTCAAATTCATATTTGAAAGGAAGGGATTTCCTTAATGAAAACATGGATGATAGATGTGTTCCAAACAATCACATGAAAACCTTAAACAATCAATTACATGTAATAAAGTTCTACAATTAAACTTTATTATCATAAAAGATGTGAATGATTCAAGATATCGAAGAGATGTTAATTTAGTAATATACCGTATCCTCAATTCTCAGCATAACTTTCAAAAAGACTGCAGACTCAAGTTTACATATCGGATAGAAGAATTCCATCGAAGGTCTCAACATTGGCGTGGAAGGCCCTTCAAAATTGACTGCCTACCACGGATAACTTAATTAAGAGAAAGGTGATGCTCATGACAGATGATGCTAAATGCGTACAGTGTAGTCATCAGGTGGAAAGTTCAAATCATGCATCATTTTTTTTTCCTGTAAATTTGCATGGGTTTTATGGACTGGATGCTATGAATGGTGGAATCTAACGGTGGCAACACATGAAGGATTTTGGGGGGGACTTTTCACAGCATCATGACCTTGTTCCCAAAGGTATTTTAGGTGATGCATGGAACAGGGTGATGAGGTTCGCTGTTTTCTGGTCAATATGGCTATGGAGAAATCAGAAAATCTTCGGAGAGGAAGCTGATGATGCTGACAAGGTACTGGGGCTGGTTAAATTTAGATCTTATTCATGGATTAAAGCTTGGGTGTGGCCTAATTTATCATTAGATTTATGGTGCATATCGCCTAAGAAAGCTTTGAGGCTGCGAGCTAGATTGATCTCTTTAACAGGCTGTGCTTGAAACTTGAAGTAGTGGCATAGCACCTGTCATAATGATATTTGCTAGTTTTATGTGAATCTTTTATGCTGCTAAATATAGTAGTATAATGGGTAGAAATACTCATTGTGCTTCATTAATGAATAAATATTTACCTTGTTGATAAAAAAATAAAAAAATAATAATAAAAAAAAAAAACAACAACAACAACACTTTCCATTAAACCGTCTTAGAATGAAAAGCAGTAAGATTATTGAAGCAATAAAATGAAACCATTCGATTTAAATCTGAGATATAAATAACTCTGGATTATTGAAAAGCAAAATGCATCAGATCCTATATAGTTTACCCATTTTATTGAAGTTGAGTTCAAAAAGATGTAGAAGTAGGGCTGTCCTGCGAAGGGAAAAATGATAGAGAGGAACCTCTGAGATTTCAAACTTTTCTAGGTATTTTCATTCTATAATTGAAGGAAAAAGGAGAAATCAAGAAGGAGAAGAACAACAGAACGTGCACCGGAGCTTAGTGAAGAAATAAAATAACGATTAATGCCATGTATTTTTGTAGTCTCAGATCTGTTCTGGGTCTCTCCATAATTTCGAGTTCTGCATCTGTCCACTAAATTTCCATAGCTGATTTCGAACGTTCTTCGGTTGACAATATAGTTATTCCAAACAATCTAAACACCCACATGGATGGAGAACTCAAAATTTGAATCTTTCCAAGATCTCAATCTGTTCTTGATTGTGGTTTTTATTTTGCATACAAATTACAAATCAGAGAAAAGATTCACTATTACATTTAAATGAATATCTGTGTTGCGCATAAGCAATAGTACCAGAAGATACAACTGGGTTAGAGAAGCTTAGATCAATACTTTCACAAAAAGAAAGAAAGAAACATGGGATAATCATATACCTCTGGGAGGTTTCTCCAACACTGCAGAGAGAAAGACTACATCCTTGGATTTGGGAGCAATAGCCCACTTGTGTTTCTTGTACCTGAACTGCAGAAACATGTACATGTAGTCATCCAGATCTTTTTTTTGACAGAAGAACCGGTCGATCCACAGCAACCCTCCTGCCCTCAAAATCCTGTCCCAATCAAACAGGATGAAATCCATCAACATAAAATCAATCCAGCCATCCATGAACCCGGTAGTATGAATCAAATCCATTGTGTTATCAAAGAATGGAAGGCGTTGGTTCAAGGTTGCATACAGAGGGATCAAACCTCTGAGAGCAATTGTTTCACTAAAAGGAGCACCAAGATTCAAGGCAGTGGAGATGATTGTGACATTAAGTTCTCTCATCCGGGCAGCAAATGTCCCAGTACCAACACCGAAATCTATGCCAATCCTGATCTCCCCGGGCTTAATAGCTAGAATATCCTTGATTAGGAAATCTACAGGGAGTGAGCTATTATTCACCCATTTCAACTGCTCCTTCTCCATCTCAAAACACCCTGTGCACTTGGAAAAACCTCTTTTGAGATTCTTGCTCGACAAACACGCAAAGTCCCTGCATTGATAGTTGCTCCATCTCACATTTCTGTCATCTGGTAACTTCCATAGAGACTCATTGATGGGATAGGGTTTTTGGTACACCTTAGAGGCTCTTGTCAAGCACCGCCTTCGTGGCAAAGGATCACAACCATAAACCATGAGTTTCTGGGCCAAGTTCCAATCGTCTTTGCAGTATGATCCTATATCATAGTCCATGTACTCCTCCAATTCTTTCTTCATCAACACACATGTGTGCCCTATTGTGTTGTGTATCTTCTCAGTTCCATATATATTAACCTTCTCGAATCTGTTGTCTTTTGGGGTTATATACTTCCGGATTTCTTCGGTCAGAAATGCATTAATCAAAGGCTCCTCCTTCATCGTTGAGTTTCCAATTCCTTCAAACTTAGGCAAACGAATCTGTCTAAGAGAAATGTGAGCAATGTAAAGAGGCCTGATCACCTCTTCCTCCAAAAATTTCTTATACTCCAAACCTGGTATAGTGGTTCTCTGTAGTTCCCCTTTGTTCTTCTCCATCTGTTGCACAGTTTTCTCAAGTTTTTCTTGCAAATTTTCCATCTTGTTCAGTACTTCCTCAACTCTTTCCGACAGTGATCTTATATCAAATCCATCATAAACATCCTGGACGCCATAAAAGTGGTGGCAAATATCTTCTTTATGCAGGAAAAACCCAGCAGAATAGAATGTGTAAAGACTAGATATGCTTACAAATATGACAAGGGTTCCTAATAAGATCTGAAGCCAACCCATTATTCTCCCCAATCTGCATTTTGGGAAGCATGATTTCCTCATCTTTTACCACCTGTACTCAATCCAATTTTCTCTTTAATTGCTTCTAATTTTCTTGTTCATCTCTTGCATTTTAGAATTTCAACCTAATGAAAGTTAAAAGTACATAAATTTGGGAAATAAAAAGGAAGAAAAAAACCTAGTAAAGCAAGTGATCCGTGACATAAGCGTGCAAGATATCTATTTGGCTGCTAAAGAAATCTACGAAAATAAAAGGAAATAGAACAATCTATCACATATTCTCCCTTTGAGGCATATAAACAAGCACAAGATAGACTAAAATGAAACAATAAAAATTTCAGGTTTTCCTTCCATTTTCTACAAAAATGAGCCTGAGACTGAAATAACTAATCAACACCCAATAGAAACTGGAGCTTCATAATCAAATTTAAAACATACCCAGATGGAATCGCTCTTCCATTGCAAATTGTATGAGCTTTCTGAGCAATCAACTTCACAAAATAGACCTTTTGCTGGCTTTCTCTCCCTGAGACTTTAAAATGACACAAAGTTATAACTCTGATAAAAGTTTTATATCTGGGTAAGGGAGTTCCCCGATGATCTTTTGAGCTGGAAAATCGTAAAATTCAAGCTAAAAGTTCCCAAGGGATTGCTTGTTATCCAAAAGACAATAAATAAGACGAATCTCGTCAAAAGAAGAAGATTAATTAAATTACATACAAAACTAAATAAGCGTTTGACTTGCAGAGAGCCGTAATTGAGGTTGAAGATGAGTCAGCTCGAGTTGCGGCGGAGTTGGATCGCTCACTCCTTCCCCTCGTCGTTGTCAAAGGACTGCATGTCAATTGTCAAATCCACTGGGTTGCTTAAGCCCTTGGTATCCAACACTACTGAGAGAATGAACTCTTGGATATCAAAGCATCTCTATTCTGCTGGAAGATTACAATTAATTTCCTCTGTTATTCAGAGGATCACAACATTCTAACACTTTACTTTTATCCTACCTAAAAATGTAATCAAAGAGGTTGAAAAACTTTGTAGTACTTTCTTATGGAACGACTCCACAGAAAGTGCAAAGTGCTGTAAGGTTAGCGGGCAATCTGTGTGCTTCCCTTAACAGGAGGGTGGCTTGGGATTAAAAGCCTCACTCACTGGAATATGGCATGTGTGTTAAGCTTCATTTAGATGATCTTCCTCCATTTGGGTTGCATGGGTAAAAGAATACTCGCTAAGAGAGGAGTTTTTGGTATATTAACATCCTTTCTAATTCATCTTGAGGATGAAGGAAAATACCAGCAATATGATTGGATTGAGGGGAATGGAGCTGAATAAGAACAAAAAATTTCTATTTGATTATAAACAAATTGGAGGAGAAGGGAGGGACAAGGAAAGGAGGGAAATAGAAATATATAATTTCCCTCTCCTTCTCTCCCCTCCTCTTTATTCCCCTCAACCTAAATATAGAGTAAAAATAAGAAATTATGCTAAGGCTAGGTTTAATACAGCATGTACTTGACAATGTCATCAATACTTTTCTTTGGTACCCTATACGACTATTAATCACAACATATGAGTTTAAAATTGTACTTGACTTAGGTTGATTTGTCAAAGTTTTTGAAATGATGAATGGTAGTTTCTGGAACTAGCCCTTGCTTTTCACAGATTGAAATAGCCCTCTTTGACACTCTATATTCAAAGCGTGGGGAAAAAGATTTAGTTATTTAGACAACCTCTACTTTTAGGGTATTTAAAACAAGTAGTATATGACATTCCTCACGTGTAAAGTAGGCGAAGGTACCATGACAGATTAATATGGTTTCCCATATAATCCCTGAGCATAGTTTCATTTACTAGCTAGTACTCTTGAATTGGTGATCAACAAGAAGTAGATAGAGGAAATGGACTTTTAGTATTGCCTCCCTCTATATGTAATGGTTATTATGAATCAAAATTATTGTGAGTGTTTCACCTTCATCATCTTTCTCCTCCCTACTTTCCCTTGCAAATACACAAGTAATGGTGATTAACTCCTCACTTCCTAATGTAAAAATAGTGATTAACATCCACTTTCTAATGCAATTGCAATGGTGATAAAACTTATCTTGTAACCCTTCTATTAGTGGGTGATTAGTCCTTGTAACCTCCTATTTAGTGGGTGTATAATTCTTGTAACTTCTACCACCCACTTAACCTCTATATAGGACTTGTATTCTTTCAAATGGAGTGGTGAAGAAAATAATAGAAATATTAAATTTCTTTGTATTGCCT